TAAGTAGCATTATCTATACTACATTCAAGTTAATATTTTACAGAGTCTCCCTGAATAAGGGGCAGTATTATACTCACAAAGCTGCAAAGTGACTAATATATATGCTTGCAGTATTACTGCAGAGCTAGGATTAAGTGCAGCAAAATATTTTTGAATTATGGTTTAATGGGCATTACTGTTCAATTTACAGATATTCATGGAACTCTGGCTCTGTAATAGGAGTTGTGCTCAGCAATGAAGCTAAAAGATCCACCAAAGCTTATTCTTTGCTCTGTGAAAGCCAGTAAAGAAAGGATGGGTAATAGAATTAAGGAAAGGGAGCCGAAAGACTAATGAGGAGACTGGAGCTGCAGAAACGACTCAGGAGGTAAAGTGCTTGCTGTGCGGACAGGAGGGTCTGAATTTGGATTCCCAGCACTCATGTAAAAAGCCCGGATAGTAGCATATCTGTACTAACACTAGGGAAGTGAGGACAGGAGGATCCCTGGAGCTAGCCCTCCAGCTAGTACTGTCAAATTCATTCATCAGCTCCAAGTTCAGTGAAAGAACCTTTCTCCAAAAGTAAAGTGAAGAATGAAAAATATACCTAACATCCACCTTTTACATTCATATACATGTGTACACAACCACATATGCATCAGAAAAAGTCTGCTTTCTATTACTGTAATAAAACACTATGACTGAACGCAACGTGGGAAGGACAGGATTTATATTGATTACATAACCTGAGTCACAGTCCACTGAGGGAAGCAAAGATAGGACCTCAAGTAGGCCAAGAAGCTGGAGGCTGGAACTGAAACAGAGTCCATGGAGTAATAATGCTGTTTACTGGCTTGTTCTCCATGAGCTGATCAGCTGGCTTTCTTATACAACCAATGACAACCTGGGTGGCACTGCTCACAGCGGACTGGGACCTTCCACATCAATCATCAACCAAGAAATGTCCCTGAGTCCTGCCTACAGGCCTATCTGATGGATGGATTTTCTCAATTTTCTCTCTACCCAAATGACTCTAGGTTGTGTCAAGTTGATAAAAAATTAACCAGTACAACCGCCCCCCCCACACATACATCTTTAATGTTAACCCCCACCTTCTTAACAAGATATTTTTTAAATGGTTATATTGTATTTACAGTGCTTTGACTAGGTAAGTGGAATTATGTACTGCAATATGGTTTGGCCTTCTACATTTTGTGTGACTATTTGCTTATCTGTGCTTATCATTAATTCAAATGACAATACCTAGATCCTATCCAGTAGATGTGAGTTTTCTTCGGCGATGTTCAACATATTTGCTATTCTTTCCTTTTTTGTCTTCCTGAAGAACTCTATTTCTGAACATCCTGTCCTGGCTGCCCTCTGGTCTGGTAGAGGTGCTGTTGGGCTGTGACTACCTTTAGCAACTTAGGATTCCTTTTGCTTCTATTCTGTCTTAAACTATCTTTTTACTATTTTTTTTTAGATTAGTTGCATAATAAATTATCATCTAAAAATCATTCCAGAAAATAATTCTAACGATTTTCTTTGATGTTCTTATTTTTCTGTAATAATTTTACAACAGCTTCTTTAGCAAGGGCCCCGTAGACACTTTTTTGAGTGCTTGAATCAAGGAATTCTACCTTTGAAGTCTTCCTTAGAGTTTTCAGAGCATTGATTTCTTGTCTTCTTGCTTACACTGTAGCCATAAGAAGCGGAAAGCCATTCCTTGAACTGAGATCTCACTTTGTTGCCTAGGCAAGTGATTCTCTTGCTTTAGCCTCTCAAGTAGCTGGAACTGCAGCTGTGCATCACCGTGCCCAGGGGAAATGTTCCTGTCTTGATTCTTGTTCCTTTATTGCTTCTTTATTGAAAATCTTCTTTTTACATTGTAACTGTTTTGTTTTTAATGTGCCTTAGTGAGTACCCATTGCAGTTCACTATTCTACTCACACAGTGGGCTGTTCCACTTGGAATACATGTTCTGGTCTATAAAAATGTTCTTGTATTATTTCTTTTATTATGTTGATCTATTTTTTCTCTTCTACTTTGCTAATAATGCCCATTACTTGGATACTGAGACTCCTGGATATATGGTTATTGCATATTGACAAATCAGATCACAAGTGTTATGATGGCTCTATAAATTTTTAATGAAGTTGAAAAGTCCTGTTGCCTAGTGATGAAGCTATAAAAACACTATAGTACATTGCACTATAGGCATGGTTTTGGTGACACTGGTGTGAACAAACTCACTGAATTGCCAGATCTATGAGAGTACAGCATATGCAGATAGAAGTTAGTATATGTGTATAGTACTGCACAATGATGAGTGACCGTTGCTAGCTGATGTGCATACACATAATTTTAATTGTGCTTTCATAGTGCATTCCTCTACTAAAAACATTTCATTGTAAAACAGTATGCTGTGCTTTGCTGTAAGCAGCTAAATACATTCATGTTTACAACATTTCATGAGATTCTTTTAACACCGAGAAGCCTCAATAATAATTGAATTGCCATCTTGGTTTGTGTAAGTATACTCTACCATGTCTGTACAATGATGGGATTACCTAATGATACAATCTTCAGAGTATATGCCATTAAATAACACCTGGCTACATCAGTTTTCTAGGGTGTCTATAACAAATTACTACAAATTGGGTGGCTTAACCAACAAGAATGTATTTCTCACAGTTCTAGAGGCTAGAAGTTCAAGATCAAGGTGTTGGCTATTTTACTTTCTCTTGAGGCTTGTCTGCAGATGGCTGTTTACTGTGTCCTCTCATAGTCTTTCCTCTGTGTTCTTCCATCCCTGGTGTCTTTTCAAACCCGTTGGATTGCACAGGTAGGTCCCACACTAACGGCTTTATTTTAATTTAGTCACTTCTTTAAAGTACTTGTCTCCAAATATAGTCACAATCTGAGCTACTGGGGTTAGAGTTTTAGTGTATGAGTCTGTGGAGGACATAGTAACCATCTTTTGTTCTTCAGAAAAAATATGCCTTGGTTTTGTTCTTAGGGATGTAGTATAGTCTCTGCTCAGTAAAATAACTATAGTTGGCTTCTTTTCTCTAAGTTATACTCTCCTTACATAGTCTCTGTTTCCTCAAAACTGTTAATTTTCATTTATTTATTTTGGCCACGGCTATAGTCTGAATACATTCCCTCAATTCATACTTTGTAACTTAAACCCCTATTTAAAAATTACAGAGAAGTGTGTGTGTGGGTCTTTTGAGAAGTATTTAGGTCAGGATGGCCCTGCCCTCATGAATGGATTAATGGCACCAGAACAAGTGGCTTTGAAGAATAAGAAAAGAGGCAGCAAGAAAAGGCACTTATTAGATGCTGGTCCAAGGATCTTGGACTTTCTGACTCTGAACAGTCAGAAAAGTTCTGTTCTTTTGTAAATTACCCAATTTCAGAATTCTGTTATGATAGCACAAAATGGACTTAGACAGCCAGCACCTTAATATTGTCTCCTTAACTGATAGTCAGTTGACAGCACATTTAAAATCTGATGAGAAGCTTGGTACTCATGAATGAGTCTTGTTTGTAAGTTTCATTATGGAACACTGATTCTCAATTTTTTGCTAGATATTAAAATAATCTTGGAAACCTTTAAAAATGGAGATGCCCAGGCCTGATAGCACACCAACTGAATCAGAGTGGAGTGGAGCCCAAGTAATGAACATATTAAAAATTTCCATCATGGTTTAAATGTACAGCAGAGACTGAGAATTCCTGTTGTAGAGTGAGGTAGCAGGGCCCAGTTGGAATTCCCAATAAGATTTTTTTTAAAGATTTATCTTGTATACAGTGTTCTGCCTGCATGCCAGAAGAGGGCGCCAGTTTTCATTACAGATGGTTGTGAGCCACCATGTGATTTCTGGGAATTGATCTCAGGACCTCTGTAAGAACAGCCGGTGCTCTTAACCACTGAGCCACCTCTCCAGCCCAGATTTTTTTCTCTTGAGTTTGTCATATTTCCCAGAGAAGACTCATTAGTCTTATTTTTAAAGGATGTAAATTCAGTTGTCAGGGTCCCAAATTGCAAATTATATAACCTTTTATACTTATTAAAATGCTTTATGTACTCCATAATTATGTTTCTGTACTGTAGGTGAGTAGAATGGAAACAAAAACAAAAAAGCCAGCAGTTGCACATCCTGCCAGTGATGGAGATGCTAACTTCCTTTTTTTCTTAGAGTGTATTTATTCATTAGAAGAATTTTTTTTTTCTTCTAAGGTATGCTGAACTAAGAGTGTTATGGTCTAAATACATCATCTACATAGTGTCTGCTCACCTTCAAGAACTGGCCCTTCCTGGAGGGCTGCTTCTGCACTCCAGAGTGGATGGCAGAAAGGCTTTTTTTCTGATTCAAAAAAACTGAAAGGTTGGGAACCAGATAGACAACAACCCCATAGAGGAGCATAAAAAGTGTTACCAGGTTGTGCCTTCCTTATTATCAAGAAGTTTGAAAAACTCACCCTCAGTGAATTTTTGAAACTAGAGAAAAAAAAAAGCCAAGAACAAAATTGCAAAGGAGACCACCAGCAAGGAAAAAGACTTGAAGAAAGGCCCTCCACACCATTGAGCAGATAACTGCCTTACAGTGAGCCCTTGCTGGGGCTACCTGAACCTGAGTGATACACCACATTCAAGCCACATGTCTCAGAATCTAGGAGATGGTGGCAGCAGGGGTTAGGATCAGCAAGGGTAATGGCATAAAATCAATTAAAAAGTCAAAACAAAACAAACAAATGGATACAAACAATATTTTACCTATATCAACATCAATTTTAGATAAATGTCTTAAATATTTCTAAAATATTTAAGATTAACACCATTGAAATTTTTGGTTTACAAATTATAGGTTTATAAACACAGGGTGTTAAGACACTTAAATGTATTATAATGGTGAGCTACATATATACATATAACTATATATATATGTATACACATATATAAAAATATATATTCTTTCAACTTTAAAAGTATCTCTCTTGACAGCTGAGTTTAACTGAAATAAGATTCTAGTAGTAGTGTTTTCCTTTATATTATAGGCATGTAACTATAGCTAAATGGTTAGACAACAGAAAAGATACTGAGAATAATCAAATCATTAATATTAAATTCTAGCCATCTTTTACTATTACATAAGTATGTATTATCATATAGAAAATCTGTTCTAAGCAAAGTATCTTTAAAGAAATGGTATTTGTATTTTATATTAAGTGCCCTTATTTTACAGATTAGGGACTGAGGCTCCTTTATTGACTCCAGCCCTGGGGACTGACTCCCAAGGCCTTGAACAAACCAGGCAAGTGCTTTATTACTGAGCTACATCCCCAGCTCTCTGAGGGTCAATATACTAGCTTGTGCCAACAGCACAACCAGAACTGATATAGTCTGGCCAATTTTGACTGCATCTTTTTCCTATTATTTTATAAATAAATTTTATCATTTTAACTATAATTGGAAAATTATCAAGTAATAAAACTATTTCTTCAGCCAAACAACTCTTTTCATTCCCCTTTTTTACTGAGCATTGTAAGAACAGGATGTTGTTTGTAACATTGGAGCACTTTCATAGCTTCCAAGGACTTTATCTACAGGACAAAGTTCACTTCACAAATGATTTGATTTAGCTGGAAAAAGCTTATGCAAAATCATAGCTTTAAAAACTTTTATCTCACAGTGACTTTATACATTGGGAAATAGTTTTCTGTTATCTTGATGTTTTCTTCAGATAGCCAGTTCTTCTGCTGTAGTTGGCTTAAAACAGTTTCCAAAGACATCAATCTCCCTGGAATTTGTTGTTTTTGTAGCTCAAGAAGAGTGATCTTAGCCAGGTGGTGGTGGCGCACGCCTTTATTCCCAGCACTCGGGAGGCAGAGGCAGGCCGATCTCGGTGAGTTCGAGGCCAGCCTGGTCTACCAAGTGAGTTCCAGGAAAGGTGCAAAGCTACACAAAGAAACCCTGTCTTGAAAAAACCAAAAAAAAAAAAAAAAAAAAGAAAAAAAAAAAAAAAAAAAGAAGAGTGATCTTTGAGTATAGGTTAGAGACATTTTGCCAAAGATGTTCCTTATTTGTATCTTGTCTGCAGTATGAATGTTCAATATGTAAGACTTCAACACCCTTATAAAAGGAGTCTTCAATGCCTGTATCTTCAATTTCCATGGTTTCCTTGGAAGCTGGTATGAAAGAATTAACTGCATGTTTAAAATTTTCTGTGGGTATTAAAATGGCAGTAAAAGATTTGTTATTTATGTTTAATTCTTCAACTGTGCTGAAGAGGAATGAATTTTCCTGACCTGACAGTTTCCATGAAATTATTTATAAAGTTTGGATTAACAAGATGGTTAGTAATTATGTCATCTGAATTTGAAGCTCTCAAAGCAATAGTTGTAGAATTTCAATTCTCAGAAGATGCACAAAATCCAACTACATCTAAATCTTGATTTATTGATGTTTTTAAGGCATCTTGTTTAAGAGGTAATACGTTATTTTGTATGCTTTCTGCTCTTGGAGCTGGTGGCTTCACCAGAGAAGATGAATCAAGTAATTGTTCATGTTCTTGGTAGTACATCTTTGTTACCAGTATTTTCCTTTGCTTCATTTGATACAATTGATTCTTCAGACTTAACTTTTCAGCACACTTCTTTCTCATCTCCCAATTTTCTCTTCTGAGATTTTTTTAGAAGTATCTTTTCCCTAGGTAATATTTTTAAATTCTGAAAAAGATATACTTATAGACTCTCATCAGTTATAACTATGTAACTTTAACTTTGAGCAGTACACTGGCCAAACAAACTTATTCAAGCACGAAAGTTCTACTTAAGTATATCTTTTAATTAATTTTTAAAAAGCATTACACTCTGCAATATATGACAAACAGTTTAGGTCTTTCAAATGACCAGTGATTAAAGCATAATCCAATAGTTAATTTTAATACAATGTAAGTATGCATATGCTATTTTTGTTGTTTCTTAAACCGCTTCATGAGTTTAAATTTAAAGAAACTGTCATCCTTTTAGGAGCAGTACAAATTAGTGTTGCTTTTTACTCATGCATGTTCTCTCAATGGTAATCTTTCTTACTTTCTCTACTCAAGTCACCTTGAAAACTGTCCCTGCAATGTGTCACCCTACTCAGCATTACTCCCTCTCTACTACTTCAAGACCTGACAGTCTTCAGGCAAAGAAGATATTGTTGGGATTGCAGTGTGCTTTAAATAACAGATATACCATCTGATGTCAAAAGAGTCAGCAGCAAAATGGTCACTGCACAGGAACCAAGAATCTCACTTCATATTCTTTAACCACTTTTCTGGTTTTTTTTTTTTTTTTTTTTTTGTTTGTTTGTTTGAGACAGGGTTTCTCTGTGTAGCTTTGTGCCTTTCCTGGAACTCACTCTGTAGACCAGGTTGGCCTCAAACTCAGAGATCGCCTGCCTCTGCCTCTGGAGTGCTGGGATTAAAGGTGAGTGCCACCACTGCCCAGCTTTTTTAACCACTTTTCAAGTCTTTGTAATGTAGAGGAACCCTGAAATTAAAAAAAAAAAAAAAAAAAGGAAAATAACAACTTTGATGTATTCTTTAAAACTTTGACTAATTCCTGGCCTGTACATCTAAATAATCTGTCATTGAGTGTTAAAAAAAGCAAGGTAACCATCCCTATCAATTAACAGAATCTCTACAACTATCACCACCCTGTGGTCTGTGCAGTAAGAAAACCAAGATATGGTAAGTGGCCAAAACTTTCATCTGAGAATTGCTCATAAAGCACTTCAGTGTTCCTTCAACTAAAATATGTTGCTACAAAGGATAAAATTTATATATACTTCCTATGGGTTATACATTACTATTATATGGCTTGCTAGAAGTAGCAAATAAATGCATAAATTACAAGTTCTCATTTAAATCTACTTTATATAGGATATGTCAAATGGTTTGCTGTCGACAATTTTAGGCAGTATTAATGTTTTAGCTTATTTTTAATGTTTTTGAGACAAGATCACTGTGTAGGCCAGACTGGTCTGAATTTCATGATCCTCCTGCCTCATTCTGAGTGCTAGGATTACAAGTGTACCATCATGCTCATCCTGTTAATATTTAAGTGAGAAGTCAGTTGAAACAAATTATTTACCTGAAAATAAAATTACTAATATTCCATTCTCTTTACTACTGGGACTTGCACAGCTCTACTTATGTGCAATTTAGTCGAATGTTTCTAGATGTTGATACCAATTGACTAGAAACTGTAACATTCAAGTTCTGAAAGAAGAACTCTGATGCCAAAAAGAACTGTGTATGTTTACATGTTCAGCCTCAGTCAACTGTGATGATATATATCCTGAAATCCCAGCACTTGGTTGGCTGAAGAAGGAAACATTTTGTTCCTGTATTGACATTCTGAATTTAGGGCTCATTCTAGTATACTGAAATATATTTTATAGATAAAGGTATTAATGGCAGTGCCAGAATTTGACAGAAATAAATTTCTATTAGTTCAATAAATTTAAAGTACATTAAAAATAGTTGCCAATAATTGATATTTCATTAGATGACATTCCAAAAACATAACCAAGGCATTTACTATATAATTTCATGTTCCTTTATATAGTTACAATACAAAGTTTTTTACTCAAAACATAGCTTTATACACTCAATCTCAATTAATTTAGTTTATACTATGTAAAATTCACATTTTTTTTTTCCCTCAAGTTTTGGTAAGTTTGCAAGATCCTAAAAGAAGAGCCTCTGTATGTAGGAAATAACTTTTAACACTGACACCTTTATGTAGAAAAACCAGATGATCTACTTTAGGGAGTAGTCACCAAATGAAATAATATGTCTTTGGAGAATCTTTCAACCTTGAACACATAAATATATTGGAGTTTTAAGTATGATAGGCATGTAACATGAATCTTAAAAGGTCTTATTAATAAAAACAAACCCAGAGCCAGGTACTGAGGTGAACACTGAAAGGATCAGAGAAACAGAACAGGCCCCATCCAACCTCACCTCGTCAATTTCTCAGGCGATCTTGTTTCCTCAGACCAAAAGCCTCTTAATCCTCATCCGAATGGATCTCAGCTGAACTGCTGCTAAAAGCCAAACGCTTAACAAGGCTCTAGTTCCTGGTCCTCACACCTTATATACCTTTCTGCTTCCTGCCATCACTTTCTGAAATTAAAGGTGTGTATCACCAAGCCTGGCTGTTTCCAGTGTGGCTTTGAACTCAGAGACCAGAAGAATCTCTGTCTCCTGAATGCTAGGATTAAAGGCGTGTGCTACCACTGCCTAAACCTATGCTTAATATAGTGGCTGTTCTATTCTCTGACCCCCAGATAAGTTTATTGGAGTGCACAAGATATCAACCACATAGGCATAACCAAAAGAGGCATTTAAAGGCAAAAAGAACACGTTTAAGCTTTTGTTACATTTAAAATGAGAATATACTTTTTATAAATTCATGGAGTATGCAGCATGCAAATAATTTCCTGTACCTACATGCAACACTGTATAACAAACCTTTATAAGTGTACTTTGTGGATATCTTTATTAGTAACTGGATTGCTACATTTCTGACCTACTTAGCCATGCTCTTTAAGAAATCTTTTAGATTGTTTCCTGAATAATTTCTCACATTGGCTTAATTTTTTTTTTTGGTATTTTTCACTATCTTCTGTAATTTCTCTAAATTCATAAGACAGCCACATTTCTTTTTGCTGACATGGTCTTTCCAATGTTGCCCAGTGGTGTTGAACTTCTGATTCTCTTGCTTCAGCATCCAGAGTGTTGAGATTACAAATTGCACCTGCCTAGAAAATAAGCTGAACACTAAATGCATACAAATGAAGTACTAGATTCTTAAAAATTGATAGTAGAAAAATTCAATTCTGAAATTATGCCCTCCGTCGGGACTAAAGGTATCTGAAAGATCTTTGACTTCAAATCTCAGAGCTAGAGCCATCACTATTATGACATTGGCCTCAACTAACCATGAATTAGATTTTTCTTTCTCTTTCTAAATATCACTGCATTTTGTGGAAGGCATTCAAGGAAACCAATCATGGAAATAATGCCATGTCATGTGAATTACTTGGGTTTATAATTTTTTCACATTATTTGTCTGAACCATTATTGAATAACAGCATCAGGACTAAAGAAAAATGTTAGTTTCAAAATAATTTTGAAGCAAATGAGAAACCAGGGTAGCTCTATCTAGATTACATTTATTTATTTATTTGTTCGTTTGTTTTTTTGAGACAAGGTTTCTCTGTGTAGCATTTATTTATTTATTTATTTATTTACATTTATTTGTTTTTGGTTTTTCAGACAGGGTTTCTCTGTGTAGCTTTGTGCCTTTCCTGGAGCTCGCTCTGTAGACCAGGTGGCCTCGAACTCACAGATATCCTTCTGTTTCTGCCTCCGGAGTGCTGGGATTAAACACCCCCCTGCTCTGGATTACTTTTAAATACAAGGGGGTTAAAAGGAAATGGAATTATTTGAACTGCACTGACTTTCATATATATAAATTAAGCACATACTTCAAGTACTGCTTTATCTCTTTACCCATACAGAAGAGAAATTTGAGGCGCTGAGAGCTTAAATACTTTGCAAAAGTTACTAGAGCCAGGGAACCAGGGTTTGAACTCGGCAAATCTGGCTTTGGAACCTTGCCTTGGCCTCTGAATGAACTAAGTACTTACATATTGTTTCTGAAATATTCCATGCTGTCATTTAGGGCAAATTTACCTCACGATCTCTGCACTAACAGAAGAGTATAAATATCCTTAAACAAGACACGAGTTTTTAATTCCAGTCTAGCAGAATTTTCAAGGTTGCTCGTCATTTTTGGCATCAGTTTTCGCAGGAGAAACACAGGGTTACATTCCACCTGTGTGACCAACCTCACAGAAACCTCACCTTCCCAATTAGCGTCTCCGATGTACTTTAAATGTAGTTAAGGCAAGGAAAGGGCTGGAGCCACTCCCCCACCTCCGCGCTCTGAGCTCCCGCAAATTTGACTGTGTTAAACCTGAAGCCGGGCGGTGGTGGCGCACGCCTTTAATCCCAGCACTCAGGAGGCAGAGCCAGGCGGATCTCTGTGAGTTCGAGGCCAGCCTGGGTTACCAAGTGAGTTCCAGGAAAGGCGCAAAGCTACACAGAGAAACCCTGCCTCGAGGCGTCAAGTACGGTTGACTCAAGCCTTTGGGGGAACTGAGGACTAATAAACTAACAGGTGACAGACCCAGGCCTGGACGCCGAGGGCCACTGAGGCACCCCCGACGGGTGAGGCTGAGTCTTCAGGTCACCCGGCGACTTACGGACAAAAGCTCAACTTCCAGGTCTTTAGTACGACCGGGGCGATTTCTTGCAGCAAATGCCAAGCAATACGCCCGGGTCAAGTTGACCCCGAGGGGCGTGGCCCAGCGCGCCACTCCAAGGCGGGGCCTCAGGCCCGTCCGCGCAGCGCAGCCCACGGCGCCTGCGCGGCGCTCCGCCCCAGGGAAGGATGTGTGTGTGTGTGT